GAAGAATAGGATTGTGATCTAAGGTCATTGTGCTTAGGTTATCACACAGTATTTTAGGGGTCTGAAACCGGTAGTGAAGAAGGGATTGAATCCACAACATCTCTACAGCCAGCTGATTCATACTCTGGTACTCTGCTTCAGCGCTGCGTCTTGCCACTAGTTGCTGCTTCTTTGACCACCAGGAAATAACGTTGGGGCCTAAAAACACACAAGCCCCTGAGGTGGAGCATCTATCAACAGGGTCTGCTGCCCAATCAGCATCACAAAAGCCTAGCAGAGATAGGGTTAATGCCTAGGAGCAGGTTGAATAAGTAATCCATAGTGAAGTGTATCACTGAGGTACTTGAGTATTCTTTTCACTGCTTTCTAGTGCTCCTCCAAGGGATTGGACAAAAACTGACACACTTTGTTGACAGAAAAGGATAACTTAGGCCTAGTCAAGGTAGCATATTAAAGAGCGCCAGCAATGGATCTGAACTGGGTTGGGTCTGAAAATGTGTCAAAACCATATTTTGATAACTTGCTGCTAAAGACCATGGGAGTGGGCATTCCATTTGCAGCGGACATATTCACTTTTGCAAGCAAGTCACTCATATACTTAGCTTGAGAAAGCAATAAAGATCCATTGGGTAGGTAAGTAACCTCAATCCCTAGGAAATAGTCCAGCTGACCTAGATTCTTAAGAGCAAACTTTGTGTTGAGACTCTTGATAAGATTGGCAATAAACACATGAGAATCCCATGTGATGATGATATCATCAACATACACCAACACCATAAGTGTTAAGTTGTTGGTGTGTAAAAAGAATAAGCTAGGATCACAATTGTTGGCCTGAAGTCCATACTGCAGTAGGGAGTTTTTGAGCCTATCAAACCAGGCCCTAGGGGCCTGTTTTAACCCATATAAGGCTTTGTTAAGCCTGCACACAAGAGACCTGTCAGTAGCTTCAAACTCAGGTGGTTGAATCATATACACCTATTCCTCAAGGAGCCCATTAAGGAAGGCATTATTTATATCAATTTACTGGATTGGCCACCTATTGGTGACTACAAGGGTGAGAATAGTTCTGAAAGTAACCGGCTTAACGACGGGAGAAAACGTGTCAGTGAAATCACTACCAGCTTTTTGATGAAACCCTTTGGTAACTAACCTTGCCTTATATCTATTAATAGAGCCATCAGGATTCTCCTTGACCCGAAAGACCCACTTGCAGCCAATGGGATTTTTAGTGGCAGAGGGAGACACCAAGAACCACGTCTGATTTTTCAAAAGGGCCTGATATTCATCCTGCAATGCCTGAAACCAGTGAGGAGTAGACAAAGTTTGTTTAGCTGATGTAGGTTCTATATGAGTTAGAAGGAGTGTGGGATGAAGTTTGGGCTTAACAATGCCACTTTTGGAACGAGTTTGCATGGAATGAACATTGAGAGGGGTGAGATTAGAAGGAGAGGCACCAGAACTGGTGGGTGATACAAAACTGGAGGCAGAATGATTTGTGGCAACAGAATTGGGTAGGGAAGAGAGGGAGATGGTGTTGGCCTCAGCCAAGTCAGAAGAGGCAGAATTAGGGGAAGAAAAGCTGGGCCGAGAGATGTGGGGTTGAATTAGGATAGAAGGAGAACTTGGCATAGGAGAGGTAGGAGTGGAAGCAGTCAAAGTATGAGTAGGCGGACAAGACATCTGACTCACATTAGGAGCAGCACAGGGAGGAACATGTTGTAGAGGCTAGACATGGAAAGTAGGAAAGGATGGAGACCAAGCTTGAAAATTATAGGAACTTGAGGAAGGAGAGGGAGAGGTGGGAAAAAGTCTAGATAAGGAAACCTAGTCTCATGAAAGAGAACATCCTTAGAGATGTATAACCGACCATCAGTTGCAAGGTATTTATAGCCTTTGTGAATAGTGGAGTAACCTAAGAAAATACACTCTTGGGGTCGAAAAGCAAGTTTGTGAGCACTATATGGTCGAAGAAAGGAGAAACAAGCACAACCAAACACACAGAGACTTGAATAACCAGGAGATTTATGCAATAATATGGAGTATGAAGACTGGTTTTGAAGGGAGGGACTAGGCAACCTATTGATAAGATAGGATGCAGTGACAAAGGCATGATCCCAATACTTGAGTGGCATCTTGGAATGAGCAAGCAAAGCCATACATGTTTCAGCTATGTTGCGATGTTTGCGTTCAACTATAGCATTTTGATGGTGAGTATAGGGACAAGTGAACCTGTGGAGAATACATAAGTCAGTAAGGTATTTGGTGAAGGGTTTGAATTCACCACCTCCATCACTTTGAACCCCTTTAATTTTGCAATTAAATTAGAGTTCAACCATGGTTTTGAAGTGAATGAATTGAGTGAGAGTATCATATTTTAACCTAAGAGGAAAAACCCAGACAAATCTGGAAAATGCATCAACACAGGTGAGAAAATAAGTGCAACCACCATAAGATAGAATGGGTGCAGGACCCCACAGATCACACACAACAAGTTCAAAGGGATGATGGTAGATAGTGGTGGATAGAGATGAGGGAAGCCTGTAGACTTGCCTAAGCAGCAAGCTACACATAAGTCATTTGAAGGTTTATGAGGAATAGGAATGTAGCATAGTTTGAGAACTTCAGTAAGGGCTTGGTGATGAGGATATCCAAGTCTTGTATGCCACAAACTATATTTATTGTTAGATATGGAACTGTGACTAGGCATACTTTGATATGAGTTAGGAGTATGAGCAGTAGAGACATTAGTAATAGGAGAAATTTGATAACCAAAAACAGATTTATTATTATAAGAATCAACATTACAAACAGATATACAGCTGCAAGTAGCAGCTGAATTACATGATGAACTAAGACTATTACAAGCACTAGGACTATGAAACTAAGACAGTGATGAAGCAGGATTGACAAATCTGTAGAGTTCATCAGCTCCCACAGTGCCACAGAGAAGGACCTCAGAGGAATTCTGCGATTTGACAAGACAAATTTGAGGATGAAACTAAAAAAAAAAACTTGATTATCTTGTGCAAATTTGCTTACACTAATGAGATTTTTAGTGATGTGAGGGACAGGAAGAAGATTGTGCAGCATTAGAGATGAATTAGAAGGGTTGGCTAAGGGAAATTTCATGGAACCTACAGAGTTAATTGACAAACCTTGGACATTTCCCATGAATACTTGTTCAGCTCCAGACAATGACGATGCATCAGACAAATTTGAAGCCTCGGGTGTGACATGGTGAGACGCCCCTGAATTAGGATACCACTACTGATTGTTGAAGTTAGGAACTGAACCTGTAAGGAAAGCCTGAGGTTGAGGATGCCTAGGTGGTGTTGGCCTTAGAGCAGCAGCATATCCAAAGGACGGAGGATAGGAAGCGCATGGAGTTACCATGAACGGATTGAAGGGAGCGCGTGGAGTGACAAAGGAAGGTGCACCGGAGTAAGAGTATCTATGAAAGCATACAGATGCGTCATGTCCAATCTTGTGACAAATTTGACATGAGACCTTTCCAAATCTACCACCTCCACGTCCAAACCGGCCGCCACCACAACCAGAACAACCACCGCGTGAACCATAGCCATGATTTTTAGCATTTGCCATCACATGACTAGTTCTAATAGGAAAATTAGGGTTCGAATCTTCACTGGATACCACTGTTGAGAGTGATGCTGAAGACGGCGGAGCATGAGTGAGATTCACGGACACAGGTTCAGAAACTACAACTTTTTGATTCTTCTCAATGCGTGATTCGTGTGCTAGAAGGCTTGATTCGAGTTCATCCAGCGAACACAAATCCTCTTTACTATTCATCACAGCAACAATTGGATCATATTCTTCGGGGAGAGCATCAAGAATAACTTCAATGAGATTACGAAGAGGAACCAGATCCCCGATCGAAATCAAAGATTCGCTGATTTCGCGAACACGAACAACAAATTCAATAATCGTGCGCGATCCTTTTGTCAAATTGTGTAACTCAGATCGGAGTTGTCTCGCCTTGGTGGTGAGCAACGTATTGAAGTAGCGTTGAACCTCAGACCATACCTACCATGAGTATGTGCAATCAACGAGTTTAGGAAGAAGAGAATCAGAGATAGTGGAGAGCAACCAGGTGCAAATGAGCGCATCCTATTGCTCCCAATCAAGAAACGCTGGATTTGCACCGCCGGTAACAGGATCGACGCCGGGAAGAAATTGCGGAGGAACAAGCGGCGACGTCACAAACCGCAGAAGTTTATGGCCGCGAATCACACCATCTATTTGTTGTTTCCACTGTTTGAAGTTCTTATCATCCAATTTGACTGAGATAAGATGTGATAGTTTGACATGAGATGAGGGGAAAAGACCCTCAAAATTGAACGGAGATATCATGGAACCCTAGATCGAGAGAGAAACTCTAAATACCATGTTATAATAAAAGAAAGAGAGAAGAGTGAAAGAATTTTGTTCTTGATTCTTTGAAGTGAACATAATACAATAGATCACTATATATAGTTAAGCATAACTAACCATTAACTATTAGACAGCTAATACAGCTAGCTTACTAAGATAAAGGAAACCTATATTATTATCTATTTATCTCTAGTAAATGCAAGCAATTAAACCACTTATTTCTTAAATTGCAATAAACAATAGGCATTGAGTTAAAAGATAGAGTAACTAACTTTGAATCTAATTTTAACCAAAGCTTGTGTCATCCTTTCTAGTATGCAATTTCAATGGCACTCATGGTACTTGTCAATTTAGCATGAATGGCACTATAGATACCAATATTGAAAGCAAAGAAACCAATATAGATTGCATTTGAATTTTTTTCTAAATCAAGCACAAGAGGAGGGGCTAGGACTAGCAATATATGATCCTATCAAATTGCATTTGATTCAAGAATCTAAAGGGGGCTGCACAAGATTCCAATATTGTGGCTTATTTTTTAGAACTTCATTACAAACTTTAACTTTTGGTCTACTACTTATAGCAACACTTGAGATGATTCAAAATCAGATTTTCACTTTGTTAAGCACAGACTTCCCATAAAGCTGGTTGCTTCGTTGAAGTTTCATGTAATCTATGTGTTTCATCCCAACATATGCTGCTGGATTTCTTTCATTGTCTAGTAGCTCTGAAGCTGGTTCAACCACAGTCTCCAACGATGGTGCAATAACAGTTGCCAACGACATTCTAGTTGCTCCATTGCTCACCACTGCTCTATGTACTACACTTTTGTATTTTCCGTTGCTCATAATCTATTTCAAAACCAAAACGGCAAATAAGATAATAAAAAATCTAACACAGACACGAACATTAGACACGTTGTGTACCTCAAGATGATCAGACACAAGGACCAAGAAACAGTTTGAAGTGGAACTGACATTGATCCATTTGCCTTTATGAAGAACTTGAAGGCCACTAACTCCATTCTGTATGAGGAGATTCAAGAGGCCGTGATCAGAATGCGGTGGCATTCCCATTGCAAGTTCAGGTTGAGGACAAGGAGGATAAAGATTTGCAGCCAACATTTGCAAACCAGAATCTAGATTCATTGTTCTGTCTATATAGTTGATTTCCAATCCTAAGCTTTCTGATATTCCTTTCAGTAATTCCCTTCCTAATTTCCATGTTCTTCTACTATACTCTTCCGATGTTTCCCTTCAACGACAAAAGAGATTAACTTAGAACACAAAATACCATGTCCTAAAACACTCTAGCATATGGTGATTTAGAGTTACAAGAAAAAAATTAGAGAGAATAAGCAAAAACCTGAATCCAGAAGGCTTGACCGGTGAGTGAAACTCCGGATGAACGATGATTTTGACGAAATCCCTCCAGAACAAGACTCTGTCTTCTGAAGCATTGAAGCTGGTTCCATACCTTATTGGATCCACTACTTCCTTACCTGCATACTCTTGCTTCTCTTCCTCTCTGAGATTGAAGAAAGCAAAAACTTGATCAACCATTTTCTCGAGGAGGCTCTTTGAAACAAAGTGATTGATTAGCATGAAGAATCCCCAGTCTTCACAAGCCTTGCCTATGTCACGAATAGTTTTGGCCCGCTTATCAGGTGTAGCCAAGAGGGAATAATCAATAACTGGGATGGGATCATTCTCATCTGGGTCTGCTACTATTTCATTTTTGTCATGTGGGTTGGTGGTGAATTTGTATGAGGATGGAATAGAGTTGAAATCTGGAGATTCTGATAATGTTTTCACACTTTTGAAACTAGTTGTTCTATTTTTGGATCTTTTGGTAACTTCAGGAGGAACTGTTGAAGCCATTTAGAGTAACAGATAATGAAAAGAAAATTGACAAGACACTAATATATAACTAAGCAACAAAAGATGTATCCTTTTTTGTGTTCTCTTCCTTACTCGGTTAAGGTTTATCTCAAATCTAGCTAACTATTAAGGATTTGGATTTTGTGCAATGCGGATTTTTTTATTAAAGATCTAAAACACCGACCTTTAAGTCTTTTAACCAGATAGTTCAGATGTGGCTGACTACATGGAATTAGTCGAGTTATGTGAATTGTGCCTGCAAATCCAAATCCAATCATAACTAACGCGTTCATATTTATTGTTCGTGATCACATTACACAAATTTTTGTTTATGATAACATTGATTTATTCAATTCATACATAAAACTCTCAAACTCTCATCATCTTATTGAGAGTTAGAAAAAATATACATTGTGGTAAGCAAGAACACAATCAAAAGCTTCTAGGTGGAACATTTAACTTCTTCTGATTGCTGCTATACAAAGATAGAAGATGTTTTCCACTGAAGGATCTTGACCTATCCATTGAGCTAGGAGCACTATGCATATTTACCATATTGCCATTTCCACCAACCCTCTTTGAAACAATTTGTTCATTGACTTCACCTACCTCTTGCTTATTGGAGAGAGCATGACTGATCTTAGCAGCAGAAGAAGAATCAAAAGAAACTGATCTTCTTGGCTGCACATTTACCATCTCCAACCTTGAACTCTCATTTTCCTCAACCTCAGCTTCTTCTTCTTCTTCTTCCACATTTCTCAACTGATCAACAACACTATCTTCAATTCCATTTCCATTTCTGCCGTTATTTCCCGAATCCTCCATCCGAGAACTTTCGACAAAAACATTAGGCTCCATAGATGGAACCCTCAAAGGATCAACAACAATAGGAGCTCTACACATAGGACAACTAGTGTGTGATCCAAGCCAAGTATCAATACAAGGTAAATGAAAAGCATGGTTACACTTAGGCAAAAGTCTAAGATCCTCACCTTCCTCAAACTCACTCAAACAAACAGAACAATCCGACCCATCAATCAAGCCTTCACCTTTCTTAAATTTAACTACAGTGATTGCGTTAATAACTGACTGTTGAAGACCAGGAGTTCGAATATACCATATGGGGTGGTCAACAACAGAACCATCATCATGTTGTTCATCAACAGCAAAACCATGTTCTGTCTGTTGTCTTGTTAACAAGGTTCTTCTTCTTGAACTGTTCCTACGGGAGAAAAACTTGACATAGATAGCATAGCAGCATAAAACAGAGAAAACAGCTGCTACAATAGAAAAACCTATGATCAAGTAAGTGGAGGTTTTGTGTTTGGTGTGGTTAAAAGATGGTGGTGGTGGAGGGAGGTGGCTATAGCAGTAATTAATACAGTCATCACAGTTTGTGGTACAAGACTCTACATCATGACAGAAGAATTCACATGATAGGAGTTTTCTGTGATGAAGTCCCATGGTTTGGGTTAAGGGACAGAAGAATAATCAAGATAACATGATAGGTGAAGAGGAAGGAGGTAGTTATTGGATTGGATGAAAACTTGGTTTTTGTTAGGTTGAAAATTTGACTTTGGGGTAGATATGATTTTTCTTTTCTTTTGGAGTTAGCTTTAATCTTAATCATGTAAGATTATTAATTTAATTTTATAGTAATGTTTATACCTAATTGTTGAAAAGTTGGTTTATGCTTATAACTTAAATTTAAAATATTAGAAAAGTTAGCAATTTTATTGACTAATAAATATGAAATTAAACTAAATAATAATTTTAATTAAAATAAAATTACTATTAGTCATGATCAAACTAAATAAAGGTATTGTTTGAAGGGGTAAGATGGTGTATTTGTGGTGGAAGGATTTGCAACTTGTTAGTAAGTGTGAAAAAAATTGATATTAAAATCAAGATGGTCATAAACGAGTTTTTACCTTGATTATTTTTTTAAAGATAAATCATAGAATTTATCTTATATTAAAATAATATATATTAACTTTATAAACATGACGTATATATACTTATATAATATTGTAAATGTATCAATTATTTAAAATTTTAATTTAATTATAAAGTAAAAATATATTAAATTATAATTATACAATGTAATATTCATGAATTTGTATCAAAGTATACAAATTGGCCACCAAATCATAAAAAGTAACATCTAGAAAACAAGAGTTTCATAAAGTTTTGAAAAATAAGTGCTTTTATGTTCATTTTCAATTTAATTGAAAGTTCAATCCTTTTACAATATCATTTTTATTAAATTCTTCATATTTAACTTGATCAAATTCATCTCTAGATCATAAAGGTTTTTTAATATTAAAATCAAAGACAAAATTATTTGAAGGTGGAGAACGAGAATTACTTGAATCCGACGGTTATCCAAAAGATTATTTGAAGCCTCATAACATCTTATTGTTGAGTAGACAATGAAGTTTCGGTTCAAATGCAAACAAAGATGACGAAGTTCTAGCGTCAGATGCTCGTAGTAGGACATGATGGTTCAAAACTTTTTACTTTTCACTGCCCTGGTATGTTCTTTCTCTTTCAAATACGTTGGAGAAAAGTCTTTTAATAAGAATAAAATAAAATAAAAAGTTTGGGAGAAGTTATCATGGGGCAAAATATAAAATGGAATTTTAAAATTGACAAAAAAAAAGATAAAAAGACATATTAAAGAGTAAAATTCAATGATTTTACACGGTTTCATTGAATTTAGAGCAACTTAAAAATATTTAAAATCATCCCAATATACGATTTTACATAAAAATATTTTTACCTGCGATTTAACACAAATTGCTAGCCTAAAAATGTGATATCTATAGTGTTAAGTTTTAAATTGCAATTTTAACGGCCTTGATTAAGATCATCTGGTTTTCCTCTTAATGTTATATTTTGAATGTAATCTATTCTAAACACTTCTTGTCCTATAGTAGATATTTTCAATATATTTTTGGTTTTTTAAAAGAAAAAGGTTGTTTGAAGCTTTAATCTTAAACCTATATTGTTTTTACTTTATTCTTAAACTTATCCTTTAATAAATACAGGTTAAGTTTTTCTAAAAATAACTTAAGTTTTGGACTCAAGAAAAATAATCTACGCGTTACAATATTGACTTTAGTGGGTGGATTTGGGCTTATATTACTCCAGCCCACTATCGTTAAATAGACAATGACATTAAAGAAATCATATGAAAATGTCAAAAATATTAATGGCTCAAAAAGTCAAGTAAAGACTTATTTTTTAATAAAAATAATAAATCTAATGAGTTACTTGCAACGTGCATGTCACATGATTTTAAACGTGCCACAGCAATTTGTGACAAAAAAACTTTGTTTACCAATCAACATGTGTTCTGTAAGACAAGTGAAAACAAAATTGTAAAAAGACATTGAAAGAGTTATGCCACTACTATTAGACCACGTACCTTTTTAAAATAATATTATTAATTTTCTTTACAAATTTTTTAAAAGAAGAATCAATATATTATTTATATTAACGTTTGAATTTAAGAAGAATAATTTGGTTTCTTTAAATTATTGTTTCAATACATACATGTGTAACTCGTTTTTTATTTATAATCAACTTTTAGTGTCTATTTAAATTTTGATCTGTGGGTTGGATTATTTTCATCATGAATTACTAGTTTAAATTTGTGAACTCTCGAGTTTGGTCAAGACAATTATTTTTTAAGCTAGTTACTTTTTATTCCTTCTAATTTTAGTCATAATAAACTTTGTGATAAAAAAAATAGACTTATCAGGTATAAAAATATCACATAATTTAGGTTGGTTTAGACTAAATGTTGAACTTTTTTTAATATCATTTATGACTCTTGTTTTTACCTACAACTTATAAGTTTAAATTATGTTGTTTTTTAACTTTAAAAAAAATTGTATATTATCAATTTCTAAATGGTTTTACTACAGAATAATAAATTTACCTCCATTAGATACTTTGATCAAATTGATTATTTTTATTTTTATTTTTTTAATGTTAACTAATATTTTTCTTAATGCTTTAGAATGATTTGTTTCTTCTATTTTGAGTGGTTTTAGTATTTTAAAAATTCTATTGAATATTGAATTATTGATTTATTCATCAAATGACTGGGTCACGAATCAAATCGAATTATTAAATCAAATAACTCACTTGAATAAATTGATCTGTATATAACAAACTATATAATTATAAAACCAATTGAATCAAATAACTCAATCTCTAAAACAAAATCACGACATTTATAAAGTTTTAAATTTTAAAAATATCATAATTTTATAAATTTATTTTTTAATTTCAAATTATAAATATATTCATCATACACAACAAAATATAAATTCAAATAAATTTTACACAAAGTTTAATGACAAGATAAATTGAATAACAAAATAAATGGCAAAGGTCTAATAAATTTAACTCTAAAGAAAGTTTGTTCCAGTTTTTATCGAATTTTATAAGTTCTGATCTATTCAATAATTTCATCTATTTGATTTCCAGTTCAATCGAATGGTTTGATCCGATTTTTAAATCTCTGGGTGGATCCTTCAAGCAATCTTAAAAGGTCAATGTTTCATCTCTTAAACGTGCTTCCAAGACAACACATTCATTATGTTCGCTTTCACGAATCAATGCTTGCATTCTTTCCCAGTTCAAAACATGTGTTCAAACCACTTATGATGTTTTTTGTTACATAATCTAGTAAGTAACAAATCAAGATGACAAAACAAAATGCCTAATATCTACAAGCAACATAATGGTCATAAAGGATAAGGAAATTCCACAAACAATGCCTTCAAGGAACATCATATCCAACACACATGACATGTTCAATACATAGATAGCGTACGTTTTCCTTTACTTGGAGTAACCAAATTCATATCCAAAACATTAACTTCATTTTATTTTCCACGCTTATTATTCAACGATTTCTTCAGAAGTGTAACCTAACCCCACACGAAACTCACTGTAAAATTGAAGAATCAATATAAATAAACTAGAAAATACCTATGACGAGTTCACATCATATTTTTCTAATTTCAGAAATTGAAAGCTTGAAACTCTACAGAAGTATGTCAACAAAGGGTTCGTGGATGACTCTGAAATTCAGAGGTGTTGTAGATGTGGTTCGTGCCAGCAGATTCCAATTAAGCTATGGTGGATTCAAGAGGAACACACCAATTGTGACATCAACTAGGGTTGTACATGGAAGCAGTTATTGGATGCAACCTAGCATACAATTCTTTAGCACCAAAACAAACACAAGCACTAACGCAAATAGGTTAGCTACACAAACCCTCAAAACCCCAACCTTTATGTAAATTTCATCTTCAAATCTAATAGTCAAATTTAAATGCTGAAGTTTGTTTTCAACATGTAATTCATCAGATTAAAGGATGATGAGGTTCAACCAGAAGCACCAGATTCTAAAATTTTCGCCTTTTCTTCATGGTAAGACAAGTATTGATTGTTCTGATAAAACATATCAAGGTTTCCTAAATTTGTTTCCGGTCATAAGATATAAGATTATGCCAAACAATTGCAGGGTTAAATGGGTTTTGTGTTCATTAGTTTCGTTCATGATACCATTCTGGAGACAAAATTGGGGAAAACTACAAAGAATAGAAGGTATATTTAATATCATATACACATCGAATATTTTAAATAAAAAACGGTAAAAACCAAATTTGTTAATTAATAACGGATATATGGATACAGAGGAGGCAGAGATTGTCATTGAAGAGGTTGAAAAAGTTGCAGAAGTAATAGAAAAAGTGGCACAAGAAGCCGAGAAGGTAAGTGAAGATATAGCAGAAAAGCTTCCCGAGGAATCTAAGTTAAAAAAAGCAGCTTTGTCGGTTGAAAATGTATCACAACAAATTGCACATGATGCTCAGCTAACAGAAGATTTCATACACAAGGTAATATTTTTTTTTAATTGAAAAACTTCAAACGTTCAAAATATGATACTAATTAATTTTCGGCTTATATTTTATGAAACAGATCGAAGAAGTCGCAAATGACATGGATGAATTAGAATCGTTTGTGGAACCAGTAATTGACAAGATTGTAAAGAAAAAAGAAACTTGAAAAAACTGTTCCCTGTTTGTTCATATTTATCATTTTGTACAAAATAAATTTAATACAATAGATATATAACTAAACTGAAAATTATACAATCGTGACACGGACATTGCTTTTTTATTCATTTTATTAAGTACAATTCAAAAACAAGTATGGACAAATAAAAATACCAGAAAATAATAAATTGCGAAAAGAATAACAATGGAAGAGAAAATAAAGTACTATTCATTAAAATAATAATTAAACTACACAAATAATAGAATAAAGGAATCGTCATAGAGATCGATCGAAACAGATCAAAATGGAGGTTATAGTTCACGATCTATGAAAATTCATAGTTAAAAACAAAATAAATTTAAATCAAAAAGTAAGAGTGACTCTCTACATCATCAAAGCAGAAGCAAAAACAACGACGGCGGCAGATCCGGCGACGGTGAATCTGTTGAAAGCGGCACTATTTTCGGAAGGTGATGGTGCTTCAGATGGAGGAGATGAGATAGCTGATGGAGTGACAGCGGGAGTGACGGCAGGAGTAAGAGGAGGAGATGGTGGAGAGTTAACGGCGGAAGGTGACGGGGACGGAGCGTTCTTCACAGGCACGGAAGGAGACACCGCTGGTGACGGAGACTGAGGAGACTTAGTTGGAGAAGAAACCGGCGATCTGGTCGGAGATTGAGCAATGGCGGAGCTCACCAACAATGTAGCCACGAGAATCAACATAGAAGTGTAGCTAGCCATAGTAGAGAGGTGAAGAAAGACAAAGAAATCGGATTGGGAGATTGAAGCAGCGAAAAACAACTGAGATTGTGAAGAGAATATTAGGGTTGGAAGGGTATTTATACAAGTGTAACGGCTCGAAGAAGACGCGTTTCTAGGGTGAGTCGTTTCCACTTTCCAGGGTCAGCAAGTAGGGTTGAAAATAGTGATTAGTACCATTAACTAGTTATAACTAGTCAATGAATTATGGGATACAATTCCAACCTTAAACTTTCAAATTCATTTAAACGGTCAAGCACTAATTTCATAATTTAAATTTTAGAGGGATTTAAATTTAGTTCTTCTATATAATTTCAAAAATCTCATCACCCATCTCATGGTCTCTTAATGATTTTTTTTCAAATTTGAGAAATAAGGATTCACTATTTCCACGGTTAGAAATGTGTCTAAGAGGGGTGAATTAAGACTTTTAAAAATTATTTGAGTTTTGTAGATCTCTATTTTATCTTTTTTGTTTATGTTAGACAATAAAATACAGAGAGATATCTTAATTTTTCTCCTAATTCAATAGTCCTCGGTCCCCTCATCACATGTAAGAGATTTTATTATTGTTAGATCTCTCTAAAAAAAATTCTAACCAAGTTATAAGAAAAATCTTTTTGAAACTTGTTCAACAAAAAAAGAAAACAATCATATATTTTCTTATAACCTTATCTACAACAATCTTGGATGATAAGTAACTATACTTAATATCAAATAATACTTGATATTTAGAAATTTACAACAAAGTAATGTATATAGAAGTAGATGAAGTTTGTAGAATTCTTTAAGACTTATTCTAAAAGAACAAAGTCTTCTTCTCTTTCAAGTATGAAGATTAAGAATAATTTTTCTCTAAGTGCTCAAGATACTTTTATGATAATGATGTGAAAATGAATTTCAAAAAGTATCTAAGTATGAAAGTTGTTATTAAAAATATGCAGAGTGATTTGAAGATTTTTATTGAAAGAGGTGAGTGTAAAATGAAAATTTGAAATGAATTCATAGTGATGGAAGCAATTATTCAAAAGTCATGACAATGGTTAGAGAAATTCTGAAATTTCATTAGAGGTATGATGTAAGAAATGCCATGAAAGGATATGATAAAAAGGTGCAATTAAACAAAGCGTTTTTCAGAAAATACACAAGAGCAACCGATTGCAACAGAACCACAATTGATTGTAACCAGTGTAACGTTTAAAATTTTGAAAATTTTGCATGTGTTAACCGATTGCACAAACATGACAACCGATTGTTGTAAGTAAAAATGCAATTTTTCCTAAGTCAATGGCTAAAACGCCTTAGATGCAACCGGTTGTTGCTAAGGTGAAACTGATTGTCATCAGCAAAAATTTGAAAATTGGCTTATCCATTTCAACCAAACTCATGTATCATTTAGAGATATAACCAAAATATTAGATGATCTTTGAAAAATATTTTAACGTGGTTCAAAATCAAAAATAGCTTTTTAATGCATAATCAAAAAACTTGAGCACTAAGATTGTATTAGTCAAAAATTCCATATAGCTAAAAGTTTGATTAATCACATCTTGCAAGTAACATCAAGTCTTAAACACTTTTCTATTTTCTTCTTTGATCATATAATTGTTGAGTTTGTCTTCATCAAAACATGTTGGAAGTTTGTCTTCACATTCTCCCCCCTTTTTGATGATGACAACTATTATGGACTGGCCAGAGGCTGACCCACCGTCGGGCACGGCCCGACCCAGCTCCGTCAGGGAGGGCCCAATCCATTAGTCCACACTGAGAGCTCTTACATGTCGCCCTCATGGTCTTCACGTGCCCCCCTTCCACGCGGGCAGTTGACCCAGGGCGAAGACCACGTGTTGGTCTTCCCTACGCAACGTAAGCCTTGGTAGTTACTCGTATTGGACCTTGTAAACCAACCCAGTGCAAAGTAACTGTTTGCCCGACGCTGGGGGTACATTAGAAATATCCTTTTTCATTAGAGGGTCAGGTATTATATTCTTTGCACACCTTTTTTGTACTTGCTCTCGTTACTCTATCTCTTACTTTGGTATTGAAGTATCTTGCAAGTACACACCCTCATCTTCTCCACCACCGATGAATGCAGGAGCTCACGACGTATTGTTGGCTGCTGATCCTTTTCTGATCCGGTAAGATCAACAACCATGAAACTTATAAAATCTTGAGAAACACAAATTGTTGAAGTATATTAAAGTCTTCATTTATGCTTAAGATCATAAGTAAACTTCTTTTTAATCTTATGTTCATATTTTGAAGAGAAACCCCCCCTAAATTTGACAATTTATTCTTTCTTTAATTTTTCCTGAAAAAGATTAGAGTACAAACATACAAACTATACGGTATTTTCTCCTTGTTTGTCATTATAAAAAAAAGGTAAAAGAATATGTGAAAGAATATTTGAAAGAAAACATAAATTATGAACACAAAAAATATAACATAGAAACTTATCATAAATATTAATCATAAACATAGTGTTTTAAAACATAAACACACATTCATAAAAAGTACATAGTCTTAACCAACAAAAATAACAAAAACTTAGCCTAATGATGACATAAATTTAACCAAAGATGAACTTAAACAAACTACTACTAATAATAGAGAACATAGAAAAACACATTCAATCTTGGTTCATGTAGTTGTGGTCAAGGTCGGCTTGTTCATTGTTATCGTCTTCGTGGTCTTCATCATGAGGTTGGAGGAAGGGGTAATGGTGTGGTTGGACTTCATATGGAGGGATGTTCATGTGAGCGTTTTAGTGATTAAATTGGAAATTGATGTTATGGTTCACATAATGCATGTAGTCATAGACTTGTTCATCGGTGACTTCAACTTGAGGGGCTTGAGCTTGTGCTTGAGGTCGATTGATGTGGGTGATGGTTCTTACCATAGGATTGAACCTAACTCAGGTTTTGGTGGTACAAACCTTTTTAGGAGTGATTTCATGAACTGGAGAACCAATATTAATCACTCTTTCACCGATCAGATTCACATTACAATGCTTGAAAACATAAGTTAGCCATGACCATAAGGGAGACCAGATATAAATTCATTATGAATTGTCAAGTGATTAATAATCATATATGCCCAATTGATCTAAATATTTTTCTTCATTGCAAACAAGATCTGCATCTCATAATCATTAATAGTCAAAAAATTGGAGTACTTCGGCATGATAATATAGGCAAAGAGGTAATGAATCAGCTTATCATCAATAGTTAAAATACCAGCAGACCAAAAGTCTCGTTCTAAAGGACCACCCACAATCTTTTGCCTCTTTTGAATGAACTCATGTTCAGGAATCCTAGCAATGCCCTAGTAAAACTCTCTCTTATTATAGTCAGTTAAGCTTGCACTAGCATTTAGCCTAATTCCAACTCCTTCAGTAGGAATTCCTATAATGTCTCCAAATACTTTGACAGAAAGAGAAATAGGATTTCCCTTAACATTTCAAATTATGTTACCATCGACTATATCCATGTTGCTATAAAATACCCTAACTAGATCCGGGTAAACTTCTTTATAACTTCCAATTAATTTATCAATCCCTTGAGACCTAAACAGAGCAGGAAAGCTAAAACACTCAGAGAAAAAATTGTCAAGATTTGCAAACCTGGGTGTAATAAGCATCTTCTTTTGGAAGTTTTCTCAAAGCTAACTCTTTAAACTTTTGTGGGAAGGAGCCTTATAGTTTCATCTTTGTTGGATGACTTAGAGGAGGAAGAGGGAGTTTTTCCCTTACATTTTCTTGAGGAATACATGTTTGAGGAATGAATGTTGAGAATGGAGGTTTGTGTTTGAGTGAGAGAATTTTGGAATGGAGATGAGAGTAGGCGTGTGATTTTATGAGGGAGGGTGAGATAATTTTGGAATGGAGATGAGACGGAGGCGTGTAATTTTGTGAGGGAGAGTGAGAAAAAAAATTAGATTTTGTTTTTTAAAGAGTGTGAATATTTAGTGAGTGTGTGTAGATTTGGTGAGAGAATAAAGATGAGTATTTAAGAGTATTGAAGAGGGAAATAAAGTTTGGTGTGAATTCAAGATTTGGTCAAAAAGGTGAATCATAAGGGTACAGGTTAGGGGAATCAAAATCTGAAAAGTGGTGATATGAATTGATGGGAATTTGACCAAGAATGAATCGAGAGAAAATAGAATCAACTCATTTAATAAAATAAAAAAAAATTTAAAAATGCACTTGTGGCAATCGGTTGCACTGGGGTAACAATCAATTATCGCAGTTATAAAAAAGAAAAAAAGCGTAGAAGACAACAACAATCAGTTGAGGTTTGATGACAATCGATTGCTTAAAGATGAATTCAAATTTTGCCAAGCTCACAAAAGATGGTACAACCGATTGTGGCTACACAACAATCGATTGCAACAGATGAATTTAAAAAAAAATTAATTATGTAAATGAATTTTAAAAAGATATCATACCACAAGCATCACATATAATAAAATCATATAATTTCTCCTAACAATAATAAAACCAATAATATCAAATAATAAAAATACAATCATGTAAAATATACTCATAAATCAAATTTAATGAAGGATACATGTACCTTGTGATTCTTTATGAGATTTTGTGACTTTATTCAGATGAAATTTTCAAGGATCTTAACTTAATTTAATATCACTTTCGCTCAGAATACCAAGATCTTTTTTTATTTTCTAAAATGTATCTCGAGGAAGCAGCTTTGTGAAGATGGCTACTGGTTGATTTTGAGTATAAATGAAGGAAATTTCAATGTCATTTTTTAGAACATGATCCATTAAGAAGTGATGACGAATATCAATATGTTTGTTTCTTGAAAACATGATTGGATTATTTGATATATTAATCACACCATAGTCATGAATTTGTTGTTTTAACCAAAGTATCTGAGCAAGGCAACTACCGGTGGCAATATATTTTGCTTTTGCAGTGCTGAGAGCCACACTTGCTTCCTTTTTGCATGACAAAGAAACTA